CCCTGCTCTATCCTGTGCCAATCGCATTGCCTCTGACACACCCATCCCGATTTCCCCAGTCACTGAATCAATCCACCTCAGAGGGTCTTCCCCTCCTACGCTGTCCCTCCACTCTACACAGCATGATGTCCCTCTCTAAAGACCTGTCTCTCCTTACAACATGTCCAAAGTATGTCAGACGAAGCCCCAGAATCCTTGCCTCCAAGGAGTAGCCTGGTTTAACCCTCTGTAGGATGAATCTGTTTGTGTTCTTGGCAGTCCATGGAACATTCAATACTCTTCTCCAGCACCACAGTTCAAAGGCGTCAATTCTCCTTCTGTCCTCCCTAGTCACTGTCCAGCTCTCTGACGCATAACAAGTGATTACAAAGACCATGGCCTGCATCAGACGCACCTTTGTCTCCAAAGAGTCATCGTTGCTCTTGCGTACTTTAGAGAGGTCCTTAACAGCCGACTTTCCCATCGCAATACGGTTTTTTTTTTTATTTCCTGGCTGCTGGTGACAAAAGAGTGTTGACCGTGGAGCTGAGCAAACTGAAGCTGTGAACAATCTCAATCTCTTCGCCATCCATCCTGATGCTACCAATTGGTCCAGGGTGAGAATCTGTCTTCTTGACAGTGAGCCTCATTCCATACTGAAGGCTGCAGTCCTTGACCCTCTGCAGTAACACAAATGTTAACTGACGAGGGGTGAATATATTACAAAGCCAGAATTTGGTTGCGGAAGTGCCTACTATTAAAGCACAACCTTTTTTTATCACACAAGGTTCCTTTAAAATCAGAGGTCGAGTCAGTCTTGTCTCAGCAAGCCTGTCTTCTAGCACTAAATAACTCATGCAATTTAGGCACCAGTAATATCTTATGGTTTGCAAAGTTTCCTTTCGTGCGCTGTAGAGAGATAAGCTAATTACAAGCAGGCGATTCAGAAACGCTAACTTCACCCGAGGTTGCGCGATTTCTAAACCACTCCCAGATCTTTCCAAGACGCCGATCTCTATGGTTGGGGAGGGGACCACTCTATACCGTGGAGGACTCAGCGAATATGTCCAATCATTCGGCCACTTTGTATGCACGTGACCAAAGTTTGGCTTGTTATTGGTTAATTGCGGTAGAGCCCGCCCAGTCAGGCCGGCCTGCTCCTTTAAGTTGGCGGTGTAGGAGGGTCTTAGTCTTTCGGCGTTTCCGAAGTTCGCGTGGTGAGTATGTCTTCGTTGTAGGTTGACGTGGGCGCGGAGTAAGAGGCAGCGGCCCGCCATGATGATCCCAATTAAAGCACGTGTTAGACTGCTGACTCGGGTGATGCGAACTGGAATCTGAGCCGGACCGCAGAGATTGCGGGGAGGGGACGAACCAGCCGTCGGGTCCACATCCACTCAATGTCCGCTCTTGTTCTTGCAGATCCTGCCCAGACCGCCATCGTTGAACCTCGCCTTTCCTGCCTCCTTGACTCTTCCCCCGAAAGCTCTGAATAAAACAGTTTGATCTCCGTCCAGCTGTTGGAGTGTCTTTTGTTGGGGACGCGCTGCCTTTGAGCCCCCGGCGCGCCTGCCCGTGGTGCCGGGGGTTAAGCTGCTGCGCAAGAGCATGAGTTCGCGCATAACTGGGGCCCCAGCCCGCTGCCGGCGGCCCTTTTAACCGCGAGCGACACGGCGGCGGACCAGGCCTCTGCCGGGGTTCGCCTCTTGGGTCTCAATTCTTAGGATGATCCCTTTAGGAACGGATAGTAGGCTCCTCGACTAATTGCGTTTCCTGTGTGTGCTGTCATCCAGTAAACTTTTAAGTGTTATTGCAAGAATGAGTCTTAATTCTGGCCCTTGGTGTTAGGTAGAAAAAGAGCTGAGGACGAGAGATAAAGAAGCTGGTCCCAGGAAACGAACAGGCTTTTATTGCATGGCTTTAGAGGGACGCCAAGTGACCACGAGTAGAGGTTAGAGTTGTCTAGGGCGGCCTCCTTTTCTAGGGTTTCACTTTGGGCACGTGGTCAGCAGAGTTTGGTCCTTGGAGAGAGACATCATGCTCACAAGGGTGGACAGACAGCATAGGAGAGGGAGACGCTGCATGAGATGGATTGATCTAGTAACTGGGTCGATGGGGGTTGGTGTGTTAGAATTGGTGAGACTGGCTCAGGACGGGGAAGGGTTCAGAGAGGCTGTAGAAAAGGATGCTGTACACCGCAAGCGACTCAATGGCATCTAAAAACATAGTATGACAGGTTTGGAAACAGGAGTGGCATCTGCTTCCTAAATAACAAACCTCCGGAAACCCTATGAAATTTCATAAATGTTGATAGTTGTAGAGGGGCTTCAAACCTTTTGTTCATAGGGTTGCTAAGGCAATCAACAGGGGAGACTAGGGAAGGTGGTGTTAGCTTGCAGTCTGGGGCTGTTATTTGGGCTTTTGTGAATAGGCCCAGAGCCTTATCAGGACCCACTGGTCTGGATCTGGTTGCCATTAGGTTTTCTCAAGGAGTGATAAGTGCTGGGGCAACTGCAACATTCTTCCATTTCTTAGGACTTGGTAGAAACTGGATTTGAAGAGTTGACATCTTTGGTCAAGGCGTTAGCCATGACCTGTTTCCAAAACTACAATGACAAGACTCCATGCCAAGCAAACATCTAATGTTAAGGACCGATTTGTGCCCTGTTTGTCTAACCACCTCACAGTCACCAGGTTGTTATAAACTAGTCATCAATCCAATTACACAGTACTCGCCCTCACCCAGCAGCTAATGAGACAAGGTGACAGGCTTGAGTTACAGCTTCTCATTGAGATTGGGTTTACATCAAAGGATCCCTATTCCTGAAACCAAGCAGCTGTATTTTTAAAAAGGGTTGCTATGACTAAGAACCAACTCAACAGTTGCCTCAAAAAAGGGTATGGTGTCATACCATGAGGTAAGACTTCTTTACCTTACAAGCAACAATGGACATGGAGAGCCTGTTAAAGTCACAGTGTCAGTCCTGTTGAAAGTCTTCCTCACTCACCTACCTTTCCCAGCATGAATACTGCCCCACTCAATTACCTAACTGGCTGATGACTGTAATGGGGTAGAAAAGAGACTGGCAGGTCACAGATAGGAATCAACTTCCAGGAGGGAAACCTGGCTTTGGTTCTGAGCCAATGCATGGGTGCCGAGCTGCAATCCACCTGGTTGTCTGGATCCTGCAGTGGCCCTGAACAGATTTCAGCAGGGCATTAAAAATGAGGAAGAAAGTGGATTACAGTGGTTCATGCCACAACTGATGGGGACTGCAGTGTTTCTGTTTTGTGTGGGATTCCACACCCACAAATGGGAGACCAATTCCAGGCAGCTAATGCTGCCATTTGGGGTCCTAAGTGCTAGTAGTCATTGTCAACTATTAAGAAAACAGGTTTTAGTAGAAATAACTTGGAAGCTTGTCTAGTAGTTGACATGAGATATTTATTTTGTGAAACAATGCAAGCGATTGTAAATCCCCACATACTATTTGATTAAGTGCAACAGGTACAGTCATGTAATCTCTTTACACAGTAGTGCATCTAGTCCTTTGCCTTTAGTTATTGCACAAAAATTAAAAGACCAGTGAACAAGACATGCGGACTCTTGACAGGTAAATCAGGCTCACAATGAGAAATTAGAACAGTACACAGACTGGAATGTCAAACATTTTGAGTCAAAAGTTTTAATGGTACAATTAAAATGATGCAGTAAGATTTCAAATATATTTTGTCAATATATTAAATTTTTTTAAAGTCGTGTCCAGGCAAGGTGCTGTTTAAAAAACCACTATTAACTGTCCACGGATGTAAATTATCAAGTTACTTAAGGTAATTTTGACATCAAATGCCATTTTAAACAAAAAGTAATTGTTTACTTCTTAAAGCAAATAACAATTAGAGGGAGCCTCTGAACTTGTAAACTCAAACATTCTGACACAAATGCACAAAATAAACTTGGCAACAGTAAGAAAAGGTCACGTTACATTTTGAGATGTGTAGTGTTTGGATGTTCAGCAAACTTTTGGTCTTGACTCTCACTTAAGAGTGCAGTTCTCAGTTTTGGCCATCGGAAAAGGAAACTGCCCGCACAGTGATCCCAAACCGATTCATTAGATAATGAAGCATTTGGATTCCTATGTGAAATATAGAAGCAGACAGCAAATGCCAGATGGACAGACTGACTGCGTTCTCACCTTGCACTCTCCCAGTTCCCCCATTTTCATGAGGGACAACACTCAGTCACTGCAGTGTTGACATTCCCATGTACTTGTGTCGCGGGAGCACATTCAGGAATCAGCTGCAAACCAGGCGGTTGCACCCCACTGGTAAAAGGCTCGAGATGGTTTGATCTCATGGCTTTGCCTAAATGTCACATCGATTCCACTGTCCCCACTCCAGCTGATAAGAGAGTATGTGTGTGTTCTATGGCTACTTGCTTCCAAAATGCACAATTTAATATGGAAAGAAGATGCTATGCATATCTCTCTACCACCAAGGAGATGGCACAAGAGTTTCCACGCCCTCCACACACATCCCCACCCTGCCTTTCTCTAGAGTGTGGAGGGCTGCAGTCCAGCATATAAACTGTACAAGAGGGAAAAAAGTTCATTGTGCACTGGCTGCCTGAGGAAAAGCTTTGGAGGAGTCGAGAAGGCAAGGGGAAGCCTTCCAGTTGTACAGCTTTGCTCTTAGTGTGCTCTTGTGCTGTCACAAAAACTGGGAGACTTAAAAAAAAGCCACGGTGTGAGTCACCTGTAACTTCTATAACCTGTGATGAGATGATTCTCCCGCATCTCCTTCGCCTAGAATCAAAGCTTTGCAGCAGGCAACCCAGACATCTGTCACTGGACGCGTGGAATGACACCTCACAGTGGAATGGGCACCAGCGGGCGGAGGGTAGAAGCAGTCCTTTGAGAAACAGCTGTGGCACGAGTGAAGGCCAGTGCTACGGCACAGCGAGCAGCCGAGGAGCCCACACGGAGCTTCGATCTCGTAATACTGGGAACACCATCTCTTCCCCATCACGGCTGATCAGCAGCCTCCACAACAGGCTCTTTGAGGAGAGAAGACGCGGAGCGTGGGTCCATGGCTGAGTGCATTATCGGGATATAAACATCGTCCATGTTTGGCATGACAAAAACTTTCTGGAGAAAGAAAAAAGAAACCAGGGAAGAATGTTGTCTCCAATTGTTTTACTCTGGTTACTAATTTCAGGATTTAGAGAAGTTTTCAAAACCTCACTTGAAAAAATTTTCCTCCTTTTCTGTCCCTAATCTTTTTAAATAACAATTTAGAATGAGTTACAGAATCACAAATTACTACTAGTGCATGCGCACAAGAATGCCATAAATCAGCCCTGAGGCAGAAACAGCCTTATGTACACATAAGGAATTACGCAGATTAAGTTATAAATATTCAACATTAAGGAAAATGGATTAAACTACTCAAAGTATTTCTAAACTGTTATGTCCAGAACATGAGTGAGTGTATCCTTTCAATTCCTAGTCACAAATCTCGGTATTGCCCCCCACCACTGTCACACAAAGCTCACTATGGCCAGGACTGGAAGACTATCAGTGTCTAGCAGAAATGGCGCTTTGTCTCTGTTTAAAAACACACTTTATATAAGTGAATTTTGGCAATGGATTCAGTATCGCTGTGTCACAGAAGCATAAACACAGACAACCATGTGGCTTGGGAGGGGGAACAGCCACCAGCTTTTGCTTTTTGTACCTGACACCCCTAAAAAGGGATGACTCACATTCCTACTGTGTTATTGCAGTGAATTGAACTGAGTCCCCCAAAACACGTGTACAATGTTGAAACTATGTAACGATCCCCATGATCTGATAAAAAAGGATTAAAGGTAGACTGTGGCATAGCCCGAGCCAGTGGAAGGGGAAGTTTCTCTAAAGTGTGGCTTGTAACATTTTTTATTTCACTCAAGCGCTGGTGGCCTAGTGGCAAGAAGCTGTGCCACAATCCCAAAAGCAATCAGTTCGAATCCACCAGATGCTCTGTGGTACAAGGATGGGCAATCTCCTGTGTGATTAGCTGCCTCTGAAAACCCTCAGGAAGGTGAGCTCTGGGTCGGTTCCGACTCTACGGTACACAACAGATAAAAGCTCTGGTGCTAGTCCATAAAGAGTTCCGCTAACCTGAAGGTGGTGCCTCACTGGCAGGTTTGAGTCCGCCAGCAGCCGAAAGAGTGAAAGAGTGAAAAAGAGAAAGATGGGCATTCTTCTCCTGTGTGACTTATAGCTTCCCAAAAAACCCACTGGAGGATCAGCTACGAGCCGGTTCCAACTTGAGACCAGAACGGGAGAGAGATAAAAGGGGATGAAATCTCCTTGACACAAGGAAGGCCAAGACAGGGATGTACCGGCTTACAGATGCCGAAGGAAACAAGGCCCTTCCTCCAGAACCGACAGAGGACCCTCCCTGCCTTTGACTTCTGTCTTCCTAAATGGTAAGAAGATAATTTGTGTTTATTAAAGCCTTCCCCTTGGGGTTCTCTCTGTTAAAGCAGCACTGGATGACTAAAACAGGGATCTAGAAAGATAAGAAAGGAAGTGAGCCAAAGCTAACCAGGGTCAAAGTGCTTGTCCACTTGGTGATTATTAACTTTTCAGAAGTGGATTATCAGCTATCTTTAATCTCTAGCTTTTAAATAACAAGAACATGGCTTTTTAAAGGAAATAACCCCAAATTTGACAACCATGAAAGTAATACGGATCTTTTTCAAGAAATGAAATTCATTACAAAGTAAATGCATCGTTTGCTAATCCCTACCTACCTCCTCGAGAGACACAGTGCCTCAAACACCTGATCATGTCTGGATGGCACGTGCTCTTCTCAGGGCCTCAGCCACACAGGCAGAAGAACACAGCAAAGGGGATGCAGGCTTGGAGGAGGAGCTCTATAGACTGGGGATGAGGGACTGAGTCAGACTCAGCTGGGTACTCCAAGGGCAGGTGGTACCAGAAAAACAACTGCTTCAATGTCTGTCGAACTGAACCAAGTGAGAAAGGTGGATATACAACACAGGGTCAGGGAGCAGTTTCCCTGCCCACAGGTGGCTGCTGCTGGCTCACCCAGTCCAGCCCCGGTACTGGGAACCATGACGTCCAAAGAGAACCGAGCAGGGCGGAAGGGTTTACTCTGCCATACAAGGGTTTACTCAAAACTGGTGCACGACCTTCATCATTGTGGGCTCTGACCCACACCTTTCGGGTTTCCTTTGAAGACTACTCGTCAGGGTTCTGAGCAGGAGTTGCAGAATTTTAGAAGCTGTACCTGGGCTTTTATATGCATTTTTGACTCTATGTGCACTTTTCTGGGTGGAGGGTCTATGGCTTCTTTAAAGGTTTTCCTGATTGAAACAAAGTTCCGAACGTTTTTACGCAGAAACTCCTCTGCTCTATGAAACACTAGACAGCACACCAGGTCTACCTGAAACTCCTGCTCCAGTTTCTTCTCTATCCAGTCTGTCACGTGAACCAAAGTCACTTCTCTCTCTCCGAGTTTTGGCCGAGCTTTTAGCTCCACATATGGTGGCTTCCGGAAACCGTACCTTTGGGAAGAAGACAGCCACTGTTAGAAGCAAAGAAAGAAGTATCCAAGTGTCCAAAGCAGGGGTTCCTTATTATATGGAGCTTGATCACTACTGAAATACTCTCTTGCTCTCAAATATCTCTTAAAAAAAATTCAGCATGAACTCTGTGCTCCCCGGGACGAGTTTAGGGATGTGACAGAGTCAACAGCAGTTCTGGGTAAACTGGGAAAGTCAGGAACACCACTGTTTCTTGCTATTAATTTTTCCTAAAATGGCAGTATTTTCTCTCTCTTTTTTTTACCTCCTATTTTTTTTTATGCAAATAGTTGCCCAGTGGCATGGCAGTGGCACTTGGCTGCTAAGAGAAAGGCAGTCTGCTCCTGTAATGATTACGGCCGCGGAAACCTTAAGGGGTAGTTCTACTCTGGCCTATTTGGTCACTTGTGAGTTGAAGTAACAGGTTTGGCTAGGTTGCTTTAGCATATGTAATAAAATCAAGCGATGCAAGCATATTTAAAAATATTAACACTCACCCCCACCAAACTGGAGCCAGCTCGGAGCTGCCGCCCCACTGGGTTTTGGAGGAGGATACCACACGGGAGGAGATGGCCCATCTTTGTCCCGAAGAGCCTCTGGTGGATTTGAATGGGCAGAGGGGCATGGCTTTTGAGCTGGCAGTGCACCTCCCTGACAACTAGCCCACCAGAGCTCTCCTATCTACATGCAAACATATAAAGCAGAAAGAAAATACAGGTACCACTCGGGATCTTATGACAGGAGCAGAGAGGAGTGGGCTCAGTTTCCTAACCAGGCCGTGTGAATAGACAGAGCTTGCCAAGCTGCTGTGCACCTCCCGCTTTTTACGGCTTCCCGATGGAGGCTGGTGTGCTCAAGGAACTCACAAAAAGTTTGTGTGTTCTCGCATCACCAGAAAATGTCAATTTGTCATAGATCGCTGCTTTTGTAAAATACAATACAACTGGCAAAATACTATATACGTTTCTAAACATTTTCAGTAGCAACATTTAAATGTTTTTGTGGCTCAGTACAAACAGCTCCTCAGAGCTATTCTCAGGCCTTTCAGTGTAACTGAGACTTCAAAAGCTTGCAAGTAATGGGAAAGAAGAGGGGGCCAGCCTTTTCTATGTAAACACACTTTTCTTTTTTTTAGTTTTACTCTGTTGCCATTGAGCTTGTTGCAACTCAGAGTGACGACTCTCCACTGGGTTTCCAAGGCTGTGACTCTATGGGAGGAGACAACCTAGCTTCCTCCTGTAGTGGCTGCTGGATTCAAACCACTAA